CACTGTACTGTATCCTTGTGATGGTTGTGGAAGGCTGAGGCCTGTGGTTTGCTGTCACTGCTCAGCATTGAGAATATCATATATTAGTAAATCATTAGCCTCATAAAAGATCAAAGTTCACATTTTGAAGTATGGAGTGTTAACTTTTTCTTGTTGCTCAAAAATACCCAACACCAAAGGTTAAAGGAGGAAAGGTTTATTTTGGCTCACATCTTTTAGAGTTTTTGGTTGATAGTTGGTGGCTCCAAGATGGGGTGGCATGACAGAGGGGAATGACAGAGGAGAAACCACTCATAGTGGGTGGAAGGCAGCAAATCGGTGATGTAACAACCAACAAGTGATGACAGCATACCTCTTTCTGTCCCTTATAGTCTATGCAGACTACATGCCTTTAGGATGGGTAGCACTCACACCCAGGAAGAGCTTTCCCATTATCCACACCAGAACTATGCTAAACCAATGGACAGATTTAATTACCACATATCCTTAATCCCAGCATCACACACCCTAGATCTGGCTGCCTCTGAAGAGACCCAGCTATGACTGTATGAGGCTTTGGGTGGACATCTAGACACAGGCCATAACATGGTTTCCTCTGAATGTGTATGATCATTCTTCTATCATAAAGTTGGAAAATTATAAGTTAATTAAAGACAAACAATTTTTCTTATATATCCTTTTTTTTAAATTCTTCCTCATTTTCTTTTTCTTTTTTGGTACTAAGGGTTGAACTCGGGCCCTTGCACTTGTGAGGCAGGTGGTAGAACCACTGAGCCAAATCCCTGGCCCTTCCTCATATATTCTTTAGTTCACCGATAGGTATAGATTCTGGTTTCTTTTGTGCTATTTTAAGAATCTTTAATTCCTAGTTTCATTCCTTCATCCTAATTTAGCACTCATTTTCTTTACCTAGTGATGGGAAAAGTAGGAATGTTGGAGCCTTTTTACCTTAGTCTCAAATTGAAAGTTAATGTTTATTAACTGAGGTCATTTATGAGATGAAGTTGAGATAATGCTGAAATAGCTGAAGAGTAGTGTCCTAACAGAATGTTGAATGGCAAGTGAAAAATGTGAGGGACATTTATGTTCATGGTGTTGGATGGAGCCATGTAAAAACCGTAGAGCAAAAAGTATTGAGGTTAGGAATGTTCATTTTAGGGAGCAATAACCTAAAGAAGAGAGAAAAAGATAAAGGGGTGACTAACACAAAAATAGAAAGGCAGTATGGCCTGAAATGTGCTGCATACATGCCCCTGGGTCTATGGCATTATTAGAGGGTGGTGAGGCCTTTACCAGGTAGGGCTTGGTTGGAGAAGTTGGGTCATTGGTACGCCCTCAAAGGAGAGATTAGGGCTCCAGCCCCTTCCTGCTCTCTCTGCTGCCATGTGCTACATTGTCCCCTTCTCCTCTTTCCATGATGTACCCTGTCACTACAGGCTCAAAGCTATGGGGCCAAGTAACTCAGACTGGAACCTCCAAAACTGTAAGCCAACATAATCCTTTGCTCCTTATAAGTTATTATCTCAGGCATTTTGTTGCAGTGATGGGAAGCTAACACAAGCATAAAAGTAAAATGCGAACATATTTAGAAAATCTTGTTTATACATCATTTTAGCTATCACAGATAACAAGAGTGAGACTGTCAGTGTCCATCTTAGTGGATCAGTGAAAACTGGGTTAAGTTTAAGTGCAGTGGGGTGGTTTAATAAAAAGCAAACCTGGGCCGGGGATTTAGGTCAGTGTTTCCAGTGCCTGCCTTGCAAGTGCAAGGTCCCGAGTTTGATCCTTGGTACCATAAATAAATAAGCAAACCCAAAATTTAGTGGATTGAAACTACGAATAAATAATTGTTCCAGATCCTTTATTCTGCTGGATGGTTTTACTTGTCCGTTAGGAAATTAATCTACCCACTTAGGGCAACATGGATGAGAATCTATGTGTTAATAGCTTGAATATCTCTGAAATTTGAAATCAAAATTAATAGACACATAACTGATGGTGTGTTAGTAAACTGGTGTATTGCGTTTGCTGTTGTCAGTGGAGTGAATACTTTTTTGTCGGGGTTTCTTCCACCAACTCGGAGTGCTAACACAAAGTTTGGAAGAGATAGCTGCATGCAGTCCATTCTTACATCTAATATGAAATGATGAAATAGCCAGAGTACATCTGTGAAATATAACTGCACTTATCTTTTGGCTTGGTTCGAAAAAGAATTTGAGGTAGCTTAATGAAGTCAACACTTAATAAAACAGGATTAAATAAATAGATGCAGAATTTTCTGTAAAGGGGGTGCCTTTTACAGAATAGGTATAGGAAAATAAATGTGAGAATAAAGTTAATGCATGAAGTAAACACCTTTCATAATGTTCTGAACAGTTGCTATAGGTGAACTAAGAGTTTGGCCAAAGCAAACAGAAAAGGAGCAGCACTGCATAATGTATGTAACCTAAAAATAAATCCACTACTCAAGAGGAACAAAAACTTGCCCGGTGTGAAAGAAAAAAACATTGCATCCATAACAAAATTATTGCAAAAGTAGGATGGCAGTATATGAAAACTATCTCTAGGGAAATTGCTTACCAATGCCAAAAGAGTTCATGAAATTTTTTTTTTTAAGGAAAAAAAAATAAGCTGCAATTTAGGATCTGTAATAAAAGACTTGAATGAAATGTTTTGAAATTTGTTCTCGTTAGAAAAATATTAGGACACCCTGACCAGCATATTTTGGCTTCCCTTCCTTTGATATTGGGGATTGAACTGAGGGCCTTTGTACTGAGCTACATAGCAGCCTGGTTTTTTGTTTGTTTGTTTGTTTTGTTTTGTTTATTTGTTTTGTTTTGAGATAGCCTGTTGTCAGTGTCTAGTGCGTTGGAGGCCATGGGTAAGGGTCACACAATTACCAGGACACAGGGGATGCAGCGATGAATAAAATAATTATATCTGCATGCTTTATTTTTAAGAGAGCTAGTCTTTTTATAGAGACTTAGAAGCAGGATATATTAATCATAACATCATGACATCACCTTAGTACAAACTTCTCACAGACTTCTTACAGACTTCAGGCTGTTGAGATAATGTCTGTCTCCCACTATTCTAAGAGCCAATATTAGGGTTATTGAAAGTACAAAATAAAATTTTTACATATAAAAACATTAGGAGACAAATAGTCACAAGGCCATTTCCTTATCGCAAGATATATTCTGGCAAAACATTAAGATGCAGCAGAGAAAGTTTGCTTTCTCTTCACTTGGCCCACCAAGTGTCCAAGCACCTGAAGTCACCTTATAGATCAAGGGCAGGAAGGCATAGTTTGTTGACTATATCTCCACAGCCTGTCACTAAATTCCCTAAGCAAGACTCAAGCTTGGGATCCTCCAGAATGTTGGGTTCATAGATGTGCAGCCCCAAGCCCAGTGTCATAGGCAGTTTGTTGAGAGCAAGTTAAAATGCATATTTGAAAACTTTCCCAGTATTCTTTTTGATTTCTAGTGAGATTCATCTCCCTTTCTCTCCCTCTTTCTCTTTCTCCCTCTCTGCTCCTCTTAATTTTTTCAGACCAGTTTTTGCTACATTGCCCAGGCTGGTCTTGAACTTGCAATCCTTCTGCTTTTGCCTTCTGAGTAAGTTGGGATTGTAGGCATGTGCCACTACACCCTGCCATGTTTCAGGCTTGACTTGCCTGGATATGGATATGAATATGAATGTCTCCTTTACCAGTCTTTTGAATGTGAACTTTATGGATGGTGATAAATAAAATGTGGTCCTTGTCTTATGCTCTTTTCTCCTATGCTTCCAAGTTAGCCTGACTTTTGTAGGGAGTTTACAAATTTTTCTTCAACCCTCTGGTGTTTCAGTAATTGTAGCTGAAATAGACAGTAGCCAGATAAACAGGAAAAAAGATAAATCAAAATTTATTAAATGTGTCTGCATGGGAATTTCACAGAATATCAGACTGAAAAAAGGGCCAGATAATTGAATTTTATATTGCATTAGAATAGAATCAGGGCCTTTTGGTGTGGAGGTATCAGTCATCTGTGGGAGGGTGAAGAAGATATTCATGGCAAATAAATGATTTTCTTGTTATATAGGTAAAGTCTCCAGTAATCTGAGCTGGTCTCAGAAGAGTAGCTGACAACCCATAACAGTCTCTGTCTTGTTGAGGTGCTGAATCCCTGGTTGCTTTTCTTGTGATATGATCCTTCTTAGATCCATTTTAAAGCACATTAAGGATACCTCAGAGAAAGCTCTTTTTGCATCTGCCTTAAATTTCTCTTTATAAAAACACAGTTTTTCAGAACTATTCTTCTGTTTGTTGGTCTGAATAGTCATCTCAGTATGCCAAAGGAGTGTACTTTAGGGATAGTATTTGGTCTTCTGCACCTTAAGCAGAAATTTCTCCTGTTCTTTCGTGATGCATCTTCAGTGGTGTTTGCTCAGGTACCCCAGCTTTGTGGCAGAATGCCACCCTGAGACGCTGGAGATGAACAGAATGAGTTGCTCAGTCAGAGACTGCAAGAACACTGAGAGACCAGAAGGACTGCTCCAAAGGAAGGAAAGCAGTCCCAGAATGAGGCCAGCTTTTATTCAGAATACCAGAAAATGAGAGTAAAAGAACAAATTAAGAAAATGATGATTGAAGGGACATTGAGTACAGGCATGTGACAAACTAGAGACATTCTGGTGCTCATCTCAGCACCCATCTGAATGAAATGAAGGAAAACTGAAGTCTGGTTCTGTCTGCTTAACTAAACTGATCAAATTAACTACATTTCCATCTTGTACTTTTTAGTGCGTAGGTTCTTTCTGAGCAGCTTGAGGTCTTAGGAACAGCTGCCCAGTTAGCAGTGTGCCCACAGAGCTGAAGGGTGCATGGTAGCAACAACTTTAAGGTCACTAACAAATGCTTAGAAATCCCTCTTTTCATCTTTCTGGGTTCTCACCTCACTTGTGCTGGGCACAGAGGTCCTGTTGTTAATTCCTCCCTGCCCGACTTTCCCTAGAGCCTGTGCGTGCTGGTGCCTGCTGCAAGCGGCAGAATGAAGGAAAGCCAGAAAGAGGTGAGTTTTGAGCTAGATTCTGATTTGGGATTTTTGAGGGGCTGGGAGGCTTGAATTGGTAGAGGTCATAGAAATGAGAAAAGTGTGTAGTACTCCATTAGTCTATTGCCATGAGAATTGGGTAGCAGTATAGCAGTAGAGGTAGTAAGATTTGGGGGGATGTATGGTTTTGTTATCTGGGCTAATCATTCATGGCCGGATCATGTAGCTCTGCAGGAGGCTGAGAGCTGCAGAAAACATAGGCCCTTGGCAAATTGCATCAAGGAATCTTTGCTTCCCTCTCTAAGCTGTTTCTGCTGCCATCTTTATCATCTTTTTCTTTGTCATTTGCTTCTTGCCTAGGCCTCCCATTTGTACAGATATAAATGAAAGTATGTGGATGTGTAATAAACTGCTTGCCTTGCCCTTTGGTGCTCTTCGCTTTTGCATACTGAGATTGATTGATACCTGCTTAAATAAGCTTTTGAGCATGTGAAATCTGGGGGAAATGCATGGCATAGCTGTTGAACTGATGTCCTGTTTGTAAACACTAAGCAAGAGATTTACAGCTACTGTACTTGTGACAGAATTCCTCTCGTGTCTAGCAGCTGATGTGTGCTAAGATTGAACCCGCACTTATGTCCGTAGTTGGCACAGTCTGCTGTGCTTAATGGTGCAGCGCTTCATCTTCTTTCAGTGACTTTTTAGTCTTTAAATAGGTTGAGGAGGTAGGTCATTGTATTTGAAGGGTAGTAAAATAGGATTCATCTTTTTACCTCATTTTGAATATCTGCTCTTTTCTCTAAGGTCATAGCTATTTTGAAATTGAATAAATTGTTATTGTTTGTTTAGGAACTTACGGTGTAGTGCAGTGTTAAATTTGCTGTGTGCAGTGGAGATACACTAAGGAATGACTAAATTGTTTTTGGCCATTGGGGTTTCTGTCACATTTCTTTTGCTTTTCAAGGTCTTCAGGAATTTTAATCTGCTTGATTTAGAAGCCTCATATGGTATCAGGTTGGTGTAGCATAAGATTCTAGGTTATAGGGCCAGGGATTTAGCTCAGTGGTTCCACCGCCAGCCTCATAAGCATGAGGACCCAGGTTTGATCCCTGGTTCCAAAAAAAAATCAAAGATTCTAGGTTATTTCTTTTACTCAGCCTCAAGCAGAGCTTAAATGAGGTTAGATGAGGCTGGATGATTCATGATTCATTCACCCACATAACAGGGTGTTTAGCAGCATCCCTGGCCGCTGTCAGTGAGTGGTTCTCTTATTTGTAACCATTGTAGTTGTCGTCACACATTGCACAGTGTTTGTGGGTAGAAGGAACAAAGCTCCCTGCTTGAGAAGCACTGGTCTAGAGAGAGCCTTTGGGTCCCTAGGACCTAAGACGTGTTACTTACCACTGCCCTAGGTGGTTAGCAGCCTTTGAGTGTCTAGGCGCTGCTTAGCTATTCTGGCTGTGACAAGGAAGAACTAACCAAAGCTGGCTTTGCCTCACTTTCAAGGAAGTTTGTCTCTACCTTTGCTCTTATGTCCTGGCTTTAACTTACTATCTGGTCTTGACCAGCCTCTGAATGGCTTTAAACTTAGTACCACTTTCTGCTCACTCTCTGTTTTTTGTTTTTGTTTTTTTTATTTTTTCCCAATGGTCAAGAGCAGATAATTGTATGTGAAACTTTAATGAAGTGTTTTTCTATCAGTATTCTATTTAAATAAACCTATTTCTTAAATATTGTATATATACAATTCCTGAGCATGGTGCTGTATTCCTGTAATCCCAGCCCTTAAGATGTGGAGGCAGGAGGACCACCTCGAGTGAAGGCCATCCTGAACTACACAGAGAGACCCTGTCTCAAACAAAAACAACAAAAAAAGTATACATTCAGCAGTATTCAAGTAATCTTTCAAAATGACTATCTCAGTGATTTCTTTTAAACAATTTAATAAATATTTGGGGATTCATGATTCTGACTTCCAGCTTTTGATGTCAGCCTCTAAGAGATGTAGTTTTAGGTATTAATTAATTTAAAAATGTAATACAAAGTTTCAGTAATAAAATGAGTATATGAATCCATTCATGATTTCAGTTACCGAGTCACTTAATTGAAAATAAATGAGCTAGGAAATTACATCTTCTGTTTTCTTACATAGGTAAAGAGAGACAAGTCCAGTCTTTGAAAACATCAAGAGACACTTCACCGTCAAGTTCTTCAGCAGGTCCTTCATCAAAGGTTTGTTACTTTTGTAAAATCATTTTAAAGAACGGCAAAGTAAGATGGACTCTGTCAGTCCAATGCTTTCACTATTTATTCCACATTGATGGTCTAACTGCTGCATTTAACAACTTGAATTTTAAGTAACCCCAACTTCAGAATAGCTACCAAAGCAAATGTGCAGTTTTCTCATAGAAGCATTTTGTATAAGTCACTCTATAAAAGTATTAGCACTGCAGCTCATCTTACTCATCTTGACCATAGCCAGTAAATACTTAGATGGGAGCATGTTTTAGATTTTGCATTTGTTAGTTGTGGGCATTTGCAAGACACCTAAAATTTGACTATCTGCTTCTGGATAATATGTGATTTTCTCTTATTCATACAGAAATGGTAGGTATAAGTTTCCATTCTACACTAAATTAATGTTTCAGAAGTTAATTGATTTTTCTCAAATGGATAGCTACTCTTCTCGTTTTCATTCCTGCTTCTCAGTATCTCAAAACATGTTCAAAAGATGGACCTCGTGTTTCTAATCCTCAGTTTTAAATTTGAGGAATTGGTGTTTTCATGAGTTCTGCTTAGTTACACCTTTTTCACCCAGCACTGATATCACCTGAATATTCAGGATATTCAGGGGCAGCTAGTTCTCTGCTTCAGAAGGGGAAAAACTTTCTTTGTGACAATTTAGTATCATCGGAACATACTTAGATATCATTGGAACATACTTAGATATCTAAGGGATCTAGAATGCCAGGTTGTTTTTGTTTTTGTTTTGAGATTGCGTCTATGTGTAATCCAAGCTCGCCGGGAACTCTTTTTTTTTAAACTAGGGAAGGAGTCCAGGAGTGAGTGCTCCACCACCGAGTTCATTCCTGTCCCTTTCTGTTTGTTGAGATAAAGTGTTGCTAAGTTGCCAAGGCTGGCCTTAAGTTTACAGTCTTCTTGCCTCAGCTTCCCAGGTAGCTGAGATTACAGGCATGTACCATCACACCTGGCCTTTTTTAACATTCATTATGGGCAGGGGCTGGGAATGAACTACGTAGGCCCCCTCAGTGGCTGTGGAATAAAGGAAGTTTGCAATTTTCTGTTTTCCTTCCAAAGGTTTGACAATTTTAGTACGTGACATCAAGGAGAAGACTAGGTGGCTGAAGTTTATATAGCACCTCCAAGTACACAGAAGAGTAGGGCTTGGGACTCGTGAAGGGGTGCGGTAGCCTCCCAAGCCAGGGGAGGTTCAGGAGGGCAACTCGGGTGGAAACCTTCCTGATTATGCACACAGCCAGCTGTGGCCTCTCTGCCTGAACCAGTTCTCAGGCCCCCAGCCTCTTCCCCTGTGAAGATCCTGTCCTAGGCAGGTGTGGAGATCTCGGAGGGAAGCTGCTGTCTATACTCTGCTTACTCTCTCATGTAGATACGTGTATACATTTCTGTTCTGTAGGAGGATGGCTTTTCAGAGCCATTCGTCTGTCTGCAGTTCCTCTGAATAACCAAGTCAGAATATGGCAAGAAGCGTGTTTGGGGTGAGGTATTTTGCCCTCCCACACCTCTGTGTAGATCTTCGCTGTGACTGTACTGGTGACCAATGTGAGGACGTTCAAGTGCCCTTTCCATCAGTATTCACTGATGACTTTGGCCAGGGAACGAGCGTTTCAGTCTCTGGGGTTATACTTTGAGGTAATAGATGTACCGTCATCATCTCCATGAGCTTCTGTTCAATTAAAATTCTTTTCTTGTTTGTGTAGAGAAGCACTTTATTAGTGAAATGCACCAGAGGATGGAGATTTTTACTGGACTGTCTTCCAGAGGACGGGGGTATACTTGGAGTCAGTGATACGATTTGAGAAGCAAGATAGGCGAAAATTAGGTGTGGTAGGAACAGGTGAGGAAGATTATTCTAGAGAAACAATGGAATTAGTGATTTAATATAAGGGTCTTAAGAAAAGAGTTTTCCTAATTCATACTTTAGTATTTTAATCTATAGCTTAAGCCTTTAAATGACATTAGGGAAATTATATGTGATCTAAAAATAAATTTTATTTTCTTTGAGTTTATATTTCCCCCATGAACTGATTAATTTTCTTCATGTTTTTTTACTATAATAGATTAATATGATGGAATATAGAAAAAAGTGTCACACATAACCTTAGATATTTTCAAATCTGTTGCCTCTCTGAATTCTCAAAACTACTTTCTAAAGTGAACATTATGAATCCTGATTTGTAAATGAGAATGCCAAGACTGAAAGTATTTTTTATAAAGCCATCTTTCCAGCAAATAGGTAAATTTTACTTGAACTAAGTAAGGTTCATCCTTAACTTCAAACTGCATATTTTGTATTATATTAGGTTAGAGAAAAGAAATGGGTAGGGTGAAATAATGAAACTTAAATTTAAAAATTCTCTGAAAGCAGTAGGATTTATATAATTTATAAAAATAGCATATCTAGAATTTTCTATTGTGTTAGAATGACCCCTAATGAAATTTTGGCGTTATTTATTTCACTGACCATAATTAAAGACAGCAAGTCGAAAGTCATGCATCTTTTGTGTTCTGTGTATATAAAGTTAGTTTTTTGAGCTGTCAGTCTCTGCTTTGTGCCATAGATGAATCCCTGAAGTTTTGTGTAAATGAAATTGGGTCATGTCTAGTATACGTGTCCCAAGGGAATTGCTGCTTAGCTTAAACAAATGTTCTTCTGAGTGTTTTTGAAGAAGAGGAGAAAAAGAGTGCCAATTCATGTCATCAATTTGAAGGACTTTTATGATTTGACATATAAGTAAGGTGTGCTTCTTGATGAATCTGAAGTGTAAACACCCTTGGTAAATGTGACAAACGTGCTCTGATCTTTATTAGGTGTTAGATAAACCCAGCAGGCTAACTGAAAAGGAATTTGCTGAGGCTGCGAGCAAGTGGGCTGCTGAAAAGCTGGAGAAGTCAGATGAGAGCAGCTCGCCTGGGATTTCTGAGTTCCAGGTACGGTATCATTTCTCCATTATATTTGACACCTGCAGGTTTTGTGTGGATATTAACTTACAGGTGGAACACATTTGCCTTTTTTTAGTACCTCAGAATACATTTAAAGGAAAACATGCTTGTGAATTATTAAAATTTACTATACAGAGTCATAGTCTTTGTTTTGATTTTGGTACCAGGGACTTTGTGCTTGTGAGGCAGGTGCCAGGCTACTGAGCTAAATCTGTGACCCCCAGAGTAGTAGTTTTGATTTGGGGGTTCATAGAAAATTGCTTATGAAATGTTTGTATTAAAATATTTGAAAATAATTTGAAAAACCTCTGTATAATGGGTAATATATCTAGTCAAAGAAATTTCAAGAACTAAAGTTTTACGTGCAGGCTTTCATGCTAAAAGAATTAGTGTTGACATGATAGGCAGTGGTAATAAATCTCTGTATCTTCATAAATAACTATATTTGAAGGAAAATTTTTGCTTTTTGATGTATTTTGGGTAACTTCTATGGAAAGTTTTTTTTCTTTTTCTTAAAAGGGAGTATTAGCATTCTTTTTAACAGTGATATAAGGTTACAACTGGGTGTTGTGGTCCACAACTGTAATCCCAGCACTTGGGAGGCTGAGGCAGGAGGATAGCCACAAAATTTAAGGCCAGCTTGACCTACATAGTGAAAACCTATTTCAAAAAAAAAGCTCATCCTTATATAAAAAAGGTCCTTTCCAAAATAACTAATTACACTGCTCATAAGAAGTATAAACCCTGTCAAAACTTACCCAAATGGAGCCCCTCTTTTCAAAAATGCTGATCTGTCATGTAGATAGCAATTTTTCTTAAATACTTCAAGGTTTCTTTGTTCTTGTACTCTAAAATAGGGTTTTTACATGTTCTTGAGTAAATGTATTGTATGCATGAGAAACTTTTTTTAGCCCTTTCCTAGCATTGTTTAAAAACATTAACAGTATAGTAATATAATTAATGCAGTAATTTTAAATAAAATAGTTTTGCTCTTAAATTAGAATAAAAAGCAAGAGAGTAGTGTTTTCGAATAGTGCTTTATTGTTTTTTGTTTTTCTATGATAGTACTGGGGATTTAACCCAGTGTTTTTGTACTGGGGATTGAACTCAGGTCCTTGCACTTGCAAGGCAGGCAGTGGAACCACTGAGCTAAATCCCTTTAACCCAGGGTTTTGAATGTGCTAGGTGAGTGCTTTACAATGGAGTTATATTCCCAGCCCTAGAATAGTGGTTTTTAAAATATTAAATATAATATCTGTACTTCAACATTGCCATTTTGGACCAAAACTGATTTCTTACTTGTGTAATGATTTATTAATAAAAGACTTTGACAATATATACTTAGGTTTTTTGTATATAAGCAAGATTTTACTTCTGAATATTAATGGTATATTCCTCATCTCCATCTTCATATCAATATTTTCTAATGATTTCTTACAATATTTTACTGTGTACTTTGTCAAATTTTAAGTTTTTTGATTTCTTGGATAGATTTTAACTCTGAATAGTCAAACACATTGGGATCTAGAAAGACTTCTTAAACTTCTTTGCTTTTTCTCTAAAATTTGACCAGAATTTGCTAGATTTAGGACTAATGTAAACTAACCCTGTAAATCTGGAAGTAGTGTCGTAGGTCAGGCATGGTCTTTTGTCGGCCTGAAGAGGAGAAATACATGTGAATAGAGGACCTGGATTACTGTAGCATGTTTATTACTTGGTGTACATCATTAATGTTGGACAGCAGCATTAAGTTCATTCTCCTGTCTACAGTGTTTCCTAGTCAGGTTGATGCTTTTTCATACAGGAAATAGAGCAGTAGAGCAGTTTTTTAAGGCTTTGTAATCTGAGTCTCAACATCTTATTACTATTTTCCCCAGACAGTAGTAATGTAAGTTCACGGGCTGTTGAATAGTTTTTCCAATGATCCATACTTGTGACAAAATAGAATTTTGACCCTGCTCTTGTAAATTCATACCTGATATAATAGAGTAACCTAGAATGAAGAAAAGCCCTTCGCTTGATATTAAAAATTGGGCAAAGTTTTGTTTCTTGTATATGTCTGTTTAAATCTGGGCTTTCTTTTTTTTTTCTGTTTAGTACCAGGGATTGAAGTCAGGACATTGTGCTTGTGAGGCAGACGGTGGCACCACTGAGCTAAATCCCCAGCCCTGTGTGTATGTTTAAATCTAATTGTGCTGGTCTGGTACTCCTTCTGCTCTTTAAGTAATAGTCCAGGTACTTTGGAAATATTGTGTAGACTCATTTTTATGAGTTGAAAGAAACTAAATTTCTTGAGTTTCTTGCTTATCTTCTCTTCTGCCATCATATAATTTTTACCAGTTTCTGTGGGAGACCCTGGAAGTTTTAATGCCCAGGGAAAGTGAAGATAAATTCAGTAATGTGCTTAAATACTCAGGCTTATTGCAGTTCATACCTCTGTTCAGTTTTATTCTTTGATCTTTTGGATTGTAATAGAACATTTCTGAAAGGTTTTGACAGACTAGTAATTCTGTAGGATCTTAAGTCTGAGGGAAAAAAAAAGATATTAGCTAGTATATTTGAGAAATGCTGTATTTAAAAGAGGTAGATTGATGTATTTAAATGAGATTGATTGGTTTTTCTATGTCAGCACTATATAGCAATTTTAATCTATTAATATGCTCATCTGTGTCCATAAAAGGATAATTAATAATGGTGTTTGCATAATTTACCAAACTTTTAACTATAGATTGTTTTTGTTTTGTTTTTTTGGTATTGGGGATTGAACTGGGGTCCTTGCACTTGCGGGGCAGGCCACCAAACCACTGAGCTAAATCCCCAGCCCTATAGATTGTTTTTAAACAGCATGTGTTGTCTAGTGTTTCAGCACACACATTTTCAGCGAAAAATAGTGTATTGGCTTTAAATTTACTATATATTCTGCACCTGCTTGGGTCAGACACCGCATTAGAGGTTATACTGTGGACTTTTCAGTCATTTTTGTGGAAATATAATTTACCATCCTCAAATAGCTGTTAGAGATTGGCTTTATGCTTTCTAAATGAAAGCCAAATTATTTGAAGGTTATTACAACAGGTCTGTTACACTTTTTGTCAGTTTTCTTTTCTCTTTGCTTTTTGTGGGTACCAGGGTCAAACTTGGAATCTTGGGCTTGTGAGGCAGGCAGTGGAACCTCTAAGCTAAATCCCCAGCCCGTTTACCAGGTTATAGCTTATATCAAATTTTTTTTTTTTTTTTTTTTTGTTAACGGGGATTGAACTCAGGACTTTGTGCTTGTGGGGCAGGCACAGTGCCACTGAGCTAAACCCCCAGCCCATTCTCTTTGCTTTTTGATTTACCAAAACTTGGTGGCTCTGATGTGCTCCCCAATATACATCTTTTGTTTGCAGGACTGCGTTGGTCCCTTTCGTGCTGCTTTATTAGAATACTGGAAACTAAACAGTTTACAAAGACTTTAAACTTATTTCTTGTGGTTCTCGTTGTTAGAATATATTGATGGTAGGATTTACTTCTGAAATGATGCTCACGCTTTTGATTTAAATTGCTTAAATTTTGTACCTTAGACTTGTTAAGGTAGTTTTTTAGTAGCTAATATATGTATATATCAGAAATGCAAATGGCGTTTGTGGGGAACCTGTAGGAGGAGTGAATGATTAAAGTCATGAAGGGGCCTGCGGGGCAAAAGCACGCCTGCCTTGGAATGTCTGATTAAGAAAGGGCCTGCAGGGCAAAAAGCCCACAGGCACTGGAATGCAAGGTTAAAGATTAGATTAGGGAAGCATAATAGGTTTGACCTGTGTCCTTCCCTCTGCCCAATAAATTGCTTAGATTACCCTAAAAAATGTGTAGCAGACCTCCTTGTTCTTTGACAACCAAGCTACTTTTCTTCCCTGTATTTCCCTGCAATAAAAGCTGGAGCATTCTCTGTTCAGCACTTCTCCTTTGAGACTTCCTCACACTGGGTGCTCTCAGGACAGTCCCCGTGGACCTCTCAGTGTTCAGACCAAATGTCGTCTCCACGTAATGTTTTCATCCTCCGAGCTGCCACAGTTGCACACTGTGAGAAGTGAAGCTCTGTGTGGGAAACCCCGAAGGCAGCTGGCTGCTGCAGATCATCGTGGAGGACCAGTCTTCCACAGCCTGGAAAAAGAACAAGGTCCAACTTCTCATTCTTTGAGGGGAAATAGGCAGTGGAGGAGTAGCGTGACACTTGCACAGCAGGGTGGAAGGTTAGGGTTATCAGCTCAGAGGTCTTCTTACTGTCCAGCTGCTAAGTGCGCTGGGGCATTGTACTTTGTGGACCTCTCAGTGTTCAGACCAAATGTCGTCTCCACGTAATGTTTTCATCCTCCGAGCTGCCACAGTTGCACACTGTGAGAAGTGAAGCTCTGTGTGGGAAACCCCGAAGGCAGCTGGCTGCTGCAGATCATCGTGGAGGACCGGTCTTCCAAAGCCTGGAAAAAGAACAAGGTCCAACTTCTCATTCTTTGAGGGGAAATAGGCAGTCAGTGTTCAGACCAAATGTCGTCTCCACGTAATGTTTTCATCCTCCGAGCTGCCACAGTTGCACACTGTGAGAAGTGAAGCTCTGTGTGGGAAACCCCGAAGGCAGCTGGCTGCTGCAGATCATCGTGGAGGACCGGTCTTCCAAAGCCTGGAAAAAGAACAAGGTCCAACTTCTCATTCTTTGAGGGGAAATAGGCAGTGGAGGAGTAGCGTGACACTTGTACAGCAGGGTGGAAGGTTAGCTTTATCAGCTCAGAGGTCTTCTTACTGTCCAGTTGCTAAGTGAGCTGGGGCATTGTACTGGTGTTTCTGTTTTGGGAGGAAGAATGGCCTCTAAAAGAGGAGAAATTTAAACAGGCCCCACCCATGGTGGAAGAGCAAATGTGAACCAAACTCATCCTTCTTGTAGCTTGTGGAATGCTCCAATTTTCTGAATACTGAAATATCAGGAAAATGGAGGCTATTACATGACCTCCATCAAGTGAATGGCCACATAGTCCCTATAGGAGCCCAACACCTGGGAATTCCTAATCCTGCTTTTATCCCTCAAACCTCTTGTCTTTAATTTTGGATCTTAAAGGTTACTTTTTCATTATCCCACTCGGTGAAGAAGAGAGAGAAAGAAATTTGCCCTGGTCATGCGTATAATTAGTTTTAGGTATTCTTCCCAAGGCTGGCATGTTAAACATGTCACTGGTATACCTCAGAATCCTACGGGACAAGCTATAGTGGCCCATTTGAGGGCCATGGGCTCCTCAAAATTCAGTTATTAAAAAGGGGGAATACGATAAAAGGGGGATGTGGTAGAGACTTCCCCCATAGGAACAGTTATATAAAGTACTCTTTAAATTTTAAAATTTTGACTCAGATGGATTCAAAGCAGTGGAAATGATTTTATTCCCACAAAAGAAGGACCGTGACCATTGGTTTTTTATCGACAACCTTTATCGGGTCCATGATGGATGGGCCCCATGAAATTGCTCACTTAGGGGAGGGGAGAGGGAATGCATCTGTTTTGTCACCCACAGGTGCAGTTTGAGATCCTGCAAAGCATGTGCATCCCTACCATGTGTAATGAGTCGGGAAGCAATCCTCTCCTGGAGCTTCAGAAGCTGGCAATACAGCTTCCCCCGGGAACAAGCAGGAAGAGGAAAAGCCTGGGCCCCCTGCCCTCTACGACACATGCTTCAGGACCCACCTGGGGAGAAATTAAGAAGCTTACTAATCAAGCCGAACAAACTCTCCAAATCAAAGGAACCCCTTCCACTCCTGAAAACTTGTTTCTTTCAATGATAGAGCAGATCACATCCAACTCCAAGGCTGCACAGGTAAAAAGGTCCCTTATTCTTTTGAGCTTGCCGGTACATCTAGCTCAAGTAAGTAAGTAAGTGGTCTACTGGGCCCATGTTCTTACCCCACCCGTTTTTGACATGGTCACATGGAGAGATGTGGTACAAACCCCTCCCCCTTGTAATGATACCTCTTACACAGGTGAAACTTGGCTGCCACCTCCTGGCCCCTTGTGGGACTGTGAGAGGGACTGCAGCCATTCTGGTTATTCTAATGGGTGGTACCTGTTACATCAGGAGAGGTACTTTTTGGCAGAAGAATTTTTCTTGCCTGTGGTCACCAACATCACTGATAGTAGCTGTCGCATTCCCTTCTGGCCCCTCTAGTGTAGGAACTGTGTTTTCAAAGGAGGTAATTGAATGGAGGGAGCCTGTCATCAACTTTTTTTTTTTTTTTTTTAAATAACAGTGTCAGAGTAGGAGGAACCCCTCGGTCTGGCAGACACCTTCCCTCCTGCTCTCACCTGAGGGTGCCCATCGGAGATGGCTCAGATTTGGGATGGACCTCAGGTCAAGCACCAACCTTAACATTACCTCCTCTCACAGATTGACTCTAGGAAATTGGGGACCTCGCAATTTAGTAGTGCTGAAGCCTAGCTCTCCCTGGAATTATACTTATCCTTTAATCATAGCAGCAGCTCAGCATGATGGAACCATGGACTCAGTGGACCTTCACTGCGCCTCTCCTCGGGCACTTATATTTGTCCTCTTAAAAAAATCTCTGGGCGTTTAGCTATCCCCCTTTTCCCGCATATTGTGAGAATTAGCAACTCTCGGCCCATAAGTAAAGTCATCATGTGGTTTGCCGTGACACCTGAGCATGTAATGATTGGAGTTCCCGCCCATACATTTTAGTCGTCACTAACTTACCTGTTGCCACCGGCATCAGCCTCTGAAAGCCCTTGGTGTTACCCACCAGCGAATGCTACGTGGCTCGCTCTGTTTGTCACCAACCTGATGTTTCCCTATTAAATGTTACTCATATTGTGGTAGCCAGACATGATGCCAGAGCTTGGCTCCCCACTAGCCTCACGAGAGAATGGACAGAATTTTCTGTCCTTGAGCAAGTCACCTCAGCCCTTGAACTTAGCAGACAAAAACATTTTCTGGCTATTCTGATTGCAGCTGCTATTGCAGCCACAGCACTAGCAGCCACAGTGGCAACTACAGCAGTCACCTTGACCCATTGCTTACAAACTGGCCTAACTATGGACAGCTACTTTGTTGTTTTTTTGCGGGGTGGGTGGGCTTGGTTTTTTGAGACAGGGTCTCACTATGTATTTGAGACTGACCTGGCACTCACTATGTAGCCCAGGCTGGTGTCGAACTCACAGTGATCCTCCAGCCTCCAGAGTGCTGGCATTACAGTAGGAGTGCGCCACCACGCCCGGCTGGACAGCTACTTTCAAAAAACATTACCTCTGTTGCTAACAGACTAGCATTGATGGAGAGATCATAACCACGCCCTGATGCTCTTGAGGCTGCTGTCAGTTGGCTCCATTTAGTGTGATGCAGGATGTCACACTGCGCATCACACCCATTCCATGTAACAGCTTTGGTTCCTGGATGAGGTCCAGTGTGTGCTCCAGGGTGCTTTTCACACAGATCTCCCTGGGGAGATTTCCTTTCTCCAGGGCTGACCGAAGACCAAGATTCACAAAATTTAAATGGAAGTTCACAACATCACTCCAGGTCATCTTAAAACTGTTGTCTTCTGGCTCAGCCCCAAAAACTAACTCTCTGGCCCCAACCTCTGGTTCATGAACTTAATTCTTTCCATGATTCTGGTCGCAGAATTTGGTTACAATCAGAATTGAATCTGTGGAACAAAGTCTGTGACCATTGTTTGAAGAATTAAGTTCAACTGAAGTACCACTGTATCTTGATACTTTCTGCTGTAGGAATAACATTATCGTTGTGTCTTGCAGTCCTAAGAGCTCTGTGTGTCCTGTTCCAAGGAGCACACTGTGCTGAGGGTATGATGACTTTTTATTGTAAGCTCAATACCTGTCTGTACCATGTTCCTGTTCTCCTCAATCCCTAATTCTTAAAACAACAAGTGGGGGCTGTGTCGGGGGCTTGGTTAGAGGAGTGAATGATTATACTCATGAAGGGGCTTGCGAGGCAAAAGCACGCATGCTCTGGAATGTGTGGTTAAAGATTCGGGAAGCATAATAGGTTCAGACTTTGGCCTTCCATCTGCCTGATAAGTTGCTTAGATTATCTTAAAAAAATGATAGGTAGCAGCCCTTCTTGTTCCTTGACACTTGAACTGCTTTCTGTATTTTGCTGCAACAAAAGCAAGACAGTTCTGGGTTCAGCAGTGCTCTCTTGAGACTCCCTCACACTAGATCCTCTCGGGACATTCTCTGTGGACCTCTTAGTGTTTAGACCAAATGTCATCTCCAAGTAATCTTTTTATTCTCCAGACTGTGACAGGTATTGAAGAATTCAGTATGTCCCTTGCATCCTCTTCACTTCCATATTGTTGTTCTCAGGAAACTGCTTTAATCCTTTTCCCACAGAACGTGTTGCTCTGGAGATATCTGTGGATATGAGTTTGCATAGATGTATATGTTTCTATCCCTAACCACCTTTTCTCTCCTCTTTTGTGACACAGTGGGTGTGTATTAATAGGGAATGGCCTTTTGGCTATGAGGTTATTCCTTTTTTTTTTTGGTACCGGAGATCTTACTCAGGACCCTGTGCTTGCAAGGCAGGCGGAGGCACCCCTGAACTAAATCCCTGGCCTAGTTATTCAGTATTGATTTGTTACTTGAGTCTTGGTGGTTTTATTAGTTCATGATTAAGATAAGCTCTTGCTGTGTTGTCTAGATTGGCCTGGGGTTTGCTGTGTAGCCCAGGCTGGCCTTGAGTGTGTGGTCGTACTGCCTCAGCCTCCATATTATAGACCTGTACCACCAAGCTCAGGAAAAACATTAGCGGTCATTATTTTTTGTTGGATTGTTTCTCTTTAATGATTTCAGTAAGTTCTTAAATTACAGGAGCAAGGTATTTTAACTTTAGAAAGTGGAACCCTTTCCTGTATTCCTTTTATTCTCTTATGTGTATACACTTTCACTTGTAGTTGGATTTTTTCTCTTGTGTGTTCCAAATTAGATTGTTTAAAGAGTAGTTATGAGGCAAAAATTTTTAGCTGTATTTTAATATAGACTTAAGTAAAATTTTCAGATGGAATAAGCCTAAAGGCTGTGTTTTATGTAAAATTTAAAAAGTAGCAATCATTTCATCTTTAATCCTCTTCATATGTGCTCATTATGTATAATGGGATTAAAAGTTTTGTAAAAACAGATTAACCCTAGTGTTTTCTCAATATATTGTACCACCTGAAGTGTTCTGTGTTCTTTAAGAAAGTAACGATTTTGAACATTTTTTCAAGGCGGGACCTACAGCACCATTGTTTTCTGAGCAGCCGGAGGAGCCAGAGACCAATGCAGCAGACAGCACAGGATTATTGGAAGACAGTCAGCGCAGCAGTCGTTCTAAAGCAATAGCATCGAAAACCAAAGAGATTGAACAGGTGAGGTTGCAGTCTTCATAAGGTAGACAACGTTTGGCTCATACCACTTTCTCACATAAGTTCTTACTAGCTATACTGCTTTTGTCTTTTTCCATCTGTGACTTTGAGATTCTGTTCAAAAATTTTCAAAACAGTTTTTTACTGCAGTCATTTGAGTCACTATGGTCCCTTGTTATTATTAACTTTAAATAAAGAAAAACTAGGAGGGTAGATTTTTTTTTTTTTTTTGGTATTGGGGATCGAATTCGAGTCCTTGTGCTTGTAAGGCAGGCGGCGGAACCACTGAGCTAAATCCCCGGCCCCTAGGATAGATTTTTTTTTTAAGAGAAATTAATATAGTTGGTATGAAACAATTTCTAAACTTTTTAGGGTTGGAGTGGACGAATATTAAATTCAAGAAATGTTAGCAAATACTATTTTGACTATTATATATTTGTTTTTCTGTTAAGCATTTTCCAAAACTTAAAGGGACAAGAAGGGATTTAATCTTTATTTTTAGTTGATGTCATTTTGAAAAACAGGATTTTGTTTTTATTGTGAAACTATCTTCCACCTTATTAAAGCATTATCATTTTATGAGGATTTAATGAGGTAAGTAAAAGGTGACTTAACGTGTTTTGTATAGGTGTTTGATTTTGATGTTGATGTTATTCTCTGGTACTTTTAATAAATCACATTACCTCATTGTATAATCTTCTCAAAACTTCAAAATTAAGAACAAAATTAAGCCATTTTCTTAGGCTATTGTCCCATTTCCATGTTAATTAAAATCTCCTTTTCTTGGTTGGGTTGTGGAAAATCTTAAATTCTAGATATGATTGTGTGGCTGGTTGTGTTGCTGTCACACCAATGATAAAAGAACCAGGATAGGAAAGTTGTCATGCAAACCTGCAGAATTTCAGAAGCTAGGATAGTAGTTAACATAAACCTCTAATAATTTTTTGTGTTTTTCCATATACTTGAAATATTTCAAAATTAAGGGGCGGGGATTTAGCTCAGTGGTTCCAGTGCTTGCCTCACAAGCACAAGGTCCTGGGTTCAATCTCTCGTACTAAAAAAAATATGCATGAAGATTAAATGTAATAACTCAAAAGCCATGTAGATGAGACCATAAAAATCAAGTTTTGGTAATGTAGAAACAGAAATATTATTTTAATATTCAAGGCGTCTCCTCCCTGATTCATAAGTCACTGTGTTCAGATATACAATAAAAATAAATTTCAGTATCTAGTTTTTTTAATTTTTTAATTTTTTAAAATTTGGTCTGTCCTTTAGCTATGGAATCTCTAGAAAGTCATTAACTTTGAGACAGTATTACAATGTGAAATGGACTAAATCTTCAGGCCAAAATTTGTTTTAGTGCTAAATGTCTACAAATGCAGCAGTTCCTTGAGGAATTTGTTTTTTTGGAGACAGTCTTGCTATGTAATTCAGGCTGGCCTTGAACTCACTATGTAGCCCAGGCTGGCCTCAAAGGTGCAGCAATCAACCAAGACCTGTGATGTAAAGGTACAAGATTCCAATAATGAATATAACTGTACTGTATACCTAAAATGTACCAATAAACTCAATGAGGAAAAAAAAAAAACCAAGTTGAGAAAAAAAAAAAAGGCACAGCAGTCCTCCTGCCTCAGCCTCCTGAGTGCTGGGATTACTGGCGCCAGGCCTGGCTCTTGAGGCACTTAGGCTTGGGTGTGTTGTACAGGGAGTATCTAACTGAAACTGCTTTTTGCAGTGATATAGCTCCAGAAATAAACTCCAGAACAATCTCATCCCTTGTAGTACTTGTACCATTTTAAGTATGGTTCTTGTAAAGTTTGGTATTTGTATTGAAAGGTTGGAGATGATTACTACCATATAAAAGAGATTCTATCCTCCATATTTAGGGTATAAATTTAGAGAAGTTCTGCCCCTATATTTCCTGAGGTACAATCACTATACAATAAAATGCATTGTCTCAAGTACTTAGTTGGATGAGCTGTGACAGTGATGTGGACATTATTCTGAACACATACACATGGAAATCTTCTCACCCGATTTTAAGTGAAATAAAAATATGTATAAAACTTAAAGTTATATTCATGTCTCACAAAGAATGTGTTCTGATTTGTTGTTAATTTTATCTTCCAGTAAACTGCATTCTAGCTCATAACAACAAAAGCACGGAATTGCAAAAGCACAAGAGGTGATGCTGTGCACAGAAGTTTCATTCTCACCTCTGAGTTTACTCTTCTTCCAGCATATATTGTGAGGATGCACATACAGTATACATATGTGTGCATACACATGGACAGATAGGCACATGTATCTAAGTGGCTGTGGCGGGCATGCCTGCAGTCACAACCTGAGGCTGAGGCAGGAGGATTGCCAGAATTCAAGAGCGAGACCTTGCCTTAAAAAAAAAGTGAAAAATGATAAAGCAGATACTAGAGAACAGAAATGTGTAGGTTTGTGACATTGTGTTTTTCTGTTGTCATTTCCATTGACCTGTGGTGATAGCGATTACATTGCGTGTGGGACTAACTAGATTTTTGTACAGATGTCTTTTAAAAAATTAATTTGATTGGAAAATAGCCTTTAAAATAAATAATAGCAGTTTTGGGGGATTGCAAGGATTTATTTCCATTTATTAATTTACACATTGTTAGGTTGATAGAAAATAGTTTGATTTTTGAAGTAATCATTTATAGTGTGAGAGTATGAAGTTATAGAAGTTTTAAAATCTCACACCAGCAAATGTAATAGCAGTGCCTACTTCCATGTACTAAACTACTTTGTGAACTTTTTTTTTGTTACTGGGGGTTGAACTCAGGACCTTGTGCTTGCGAGGCAGGCAGTGGAACCACTGAGCTAAGTCCCCGGCTGCAAAACTGCTTGTGTTACATTTCTTCTGAACATTTTCTGTAATGTATTTATACCATTGTCTTTTGTTTTATATATAAGTGGTCCTGAACTGTGGTGCTTATCTGTCTTTAGCACCTTCAGCTTCTATTGGTTAAAACTGTATAAATACATGTGTGTATTTTTATATACACAAACACTTCTGTTAAGTAATCTGTTACAATTATTTTTATTTATTTATTTATTTTTTGGTACTGGGAATTGAACTCAGGTCCTTGTGCTTGCAAGGTAGGCAGCAGAACCACTGAGTTAAATCCCCAGCCCTTGTTACAGTTCTTTTTGGGACCTCTGACAGCTTTATGTATACTTCATTAATTTCTATTGATAGTGTGAATAATTCTACCTTGAACTTCTGTTCTGTTAGCATACTTTATTGCCATTGCTGGTAGAGATCTAAGAGGAAAAAATTCTCTTATTTCAAAAATTATTTTCATGCATGTGATTTCTGTCTTTGTATCTGTTATGAGAAAAGTGAAAGATCAGATGAGGTCTTAATACTAAAGATCTTTTATATCTAGAAATTCTTAGAAAAGCATTTTACTTCAGTATTAACACCATAAGCTACTTCCATAATCTTTGCTGTTTTTGGAACCAAGCTTGGATATGAGTCTCTCAGCAGAGGACTTATTCCTTTTTTGTTGTTAGTTAACTGTTTGTTTTCTGGTACCAGGGATCAAACTCAGGACCTTGCACTTGAGAGGTGGGCACAGTACCACTGAGCTAAATCCCTGGCCTGTCTTTGTGTTTTGAGACAGGATCTTTCTGTGTAGGTCAGGCTGGTTTTGAACTCCTATGTAGCCCAGGCTGGCTTCAAACTCACACCTATCCTCCTGCTTCAGCCTCTCAAGTGCTAGATTACAGGTGCGTGCCACAGCGCCTGGCTAGAGGGTTTTTTCTTAAAATATATTTCCTTATGCAGTACATTCTTGATTGTAATTGGGCCCTATGTGAAGTAGAAGAGTAGTAAGTATTAAATTAATGGACTTTTTAGTTGAAACTGCCATAAAGGGAGTATAGTTTACAGTAGAATTTTCTAAATTTTGTGTTACTTATATTAAATATTTTTATTCACGAAGTTTATTGGTTACATAGTGAACTCTTGTTTGCCAGTGAAAGTTGCACGGACAATTTCCTATCATCTTCCTACTCATGGTTAGTATATGTTGAGCTGTAATTCTGCCTGACTTTTTCATAGACGGAAAAGAACATTACCTGTTTAGTTATGTTTGCATCATCCCAAGTTCTTGTGGCAGCTCACAGTGAGTATTTGTTCAACCCTTGAATGGATGGAACTGGAAGGAGTGCCTGAAGCACCCATGTGTATCATGCTCTCTGGCTCTGCACTTAGTTGGTTCAGGCTCAGGAAAATTGACACTACAGTAGCTCCTCATGAATCTTGCCCTTCCGGCAGTTAGAAGGCAAAGGAGAGAGAAGCACAACCATCTTCATTCATTTGGTTGCAAAAATGCAGGCAGGTTTTAATGGTTTTCAACATCTGCAAGATGAACAGGGTTTCTCAGAAACTTAAAATGGGACTAAAACATTTTGAGAAGACTTACATAAAAAGTTGTTCACTTTAATAGCTATGACAACCTGTGAAGAAAGAGATAATTATTTAAAAAACATTTACTTTTCATATGTAATTTTATCATAACTTTTCTAGATATGGATTGTTTTTTAAGTTTATTCTACTTAAGATAATTCCTGCTTCTCGTGTGTGAGTATTGATATTTTATGTTAGAGCTGGGAATTTATAAATATTATCTTTTTGAGTGTTGAATATCTTCGTTTCCATATCCTCTATTTGGATATAGATAGATTTTTTTCATCCAATCTTCCATTTTGTTTTTTCTGTCTCTTTTTAAATCTTAAATTGTAGATATCTTGTTCAGAACTAAACTTTTAGCTCTTTCTTTGGTTGTCTAATTTACTAATTCATCCAGTTATTTTGTTTTATTTTCTATTCGAGAAATTTAGTTATTATAGATATGCTTAGAAATAAATGGGTTTTTTTCCTGTTTAAAAACATGTTATATATCCTGTAACTGATCATTTTATTATCTGAAGTCTCAGAGCTTTAATTTGCCATTGTTTTTCTT